ACTGAGCTAAATCCCTGGCCTTTGTTTTGGTTTTTTGAGACAGGATCTCATTATGTAATTCAGATTGGCCTTGAACTCACTATGTAGCCCAGGCTGGCCTCAAACTGGCAGCAATCCTCATGCCTCAGCCTCCCGAGTGCTGGGATTACAGGTGTGTGCCACCACACCCAGCAGCTAATCTTTATTTTCCAGATGAGGAAACTAAGGCACCTAGAGAAGTAATTTGGCTCAAGTTATGCACCTAAGGAGATGGGATTCAAACCCAAGGTGTAAGCCACCTCAACTTGTCTCTACCTGGCAAATGAAAAAGACCGACAGTGTCAAGGCTGGTGAGGATTTAATATCACTACAGCTGGAACCTTGGCAGTGTCTCCTAAATCTAAATGTACACATTCCCTACCTCCTGGCAGTTCCACTCCTGTGTGTTCCTCCAACAAAAATGAAAACACAGGTACACCAGAAGACACTGACAGGAATGTTCACAGCAGTTTCACTGGTCTTGGCCAGAAAGTGGAAAGCTCTCAGATGTCTAATAACAGGAGAGTAGTGTAGTCAGAAAACGGATTACACACAGCTATTAGAATTACATATTGTTGCCTGCACATGGATGACTCATAACGTTGGACAAAAGAAGCAGGCACAGACCCTCACAAACATATAACACACTATCATTCTATTTATAGTAGAAATTCTAGAGCAGGCAAAATTAATGTGAGGTGATAGAAGTCAGAATGATGGTTTCCTTGGGCATTACATTAGTCAGATTTCCATCACTATAACAAATACCTGAGATAATTAAGGTTTATTTGAGCTCACCTTTTGAAGGTTTCAGTCCATGCTCAATTGGCCCTTTTGCTTTTGGACTAGGGACCAAGTCTTTAATACACAGACCTTTGAGGGACATTCTAGATTCAAATTATAGCAGGGGTAGAGAGTATTACTCTAGAACAGTGAGGTAGGGGATCCTCTGGAGACCTGGAAATCTTCATCTTCGATTTTTTCTCTTTTTGGAGGGCAGTACTGGGAATGAACTGAGCTATATCCTCAGCCCTTTTTGATTTTTTATTTTGAGATAGTGTCTCACTAAGTCATTAAGTTGCTCATGTTGGGCTCAAACTTGTAATCCTCTTGCCTCAGCCTCTCAGAGTATGTGTGCCCCCATGCCTGGCTGGAAATGTTCTACATCTGGATCCAGATGCAGATTATAGTGCTCTGTGTGTGGAGTGAACATGTGTGTTATATATAAAATCACTGATCTATTTGCTTAAGGTTTGTGTACTTTCCCATATTCCCCTTGTACCTCAATAAAACAAGTAAATTCTTGGGCTGTGGATGTAGCTCAGTGCTATAGCATTTGCCTGGCATGCTGGAGACTCTGGGTTGATCCCCAGTGCTAAAAAAAAAATAGCAGATTTCAACCTCCTGCTGTACTTGCACTTGAGGACTTCCAGGTTTCTGATGTCCCACAGTCTTGTGTACCAGGACCTTGACATTTGGGAAGATAGGGCTAGGCTGTTGGCCCTAGCCACACCTCTCCTTCCTCAGTCAGTGGGTTAATTTGCATGCCTTTTTGTGGTCCAGCAGCCTCCCCAGTCCTGTGCTCCTAAGCACCTGGAGCACAGCCTAGCCCAACATCTCCCTGCCTGCCTCTCTGCCTCTGGTCATGGCCTGTCCCCTGTGCCTGGTCCTCTTGCTGGTGGAAGCCTTCCTGGCAGGTGAGCCCTCCCATGGCTTGGCTCACCTAGGGGTGGAGTGGGGATGGCACTGACCTGAGAAGTTCCCTGCAAAGCAGCAAATCAACGGAGGCCAACAAGAGAGTCCTAGGTGAAGCACTTAGCTAGAGGGACACCTGGCTCCAGGCAGTTCTGCCCTGACCTAGGGCAAGTCACTTCCTGCGTGGGCCTTGGTTTCCTCATTTGTTAATAATGAGATCAGTAAGGTCCCTTCAGACTCTAACCCTTTGGGGTATCTAAGGAGAACAGAGCTTAACACCTTGATTTTTCACAGGGAAAACTGGCCTGTCCCTACCCCACAGGCCCTCAAGGGCAATTTAACCCCAGAGAAAGTCCCCAGTGGCCAGTGGCCTGAGGCTGAGGCTTGGGTGGTACAGTCCCAAGAGTATTCCGGGGATGGTTAGCCTGTAGACAGGATTTGTAAGTCATGAAACTGAGGGGAAAAGTGTCTGCAGAGAAAGGGAGATGGGCAGCAGGAGAACCCCGGCATTAGTCCTATGTTCTGAGTGCTAGGCTTTCATGTGAACATGGATTCTTGGGGACCTGGCATTAATGGTGACTTAGGGATCACTAACTCCAAAACCCTCACTCACAGAGGGAAATAGAGGCCTAGAGAGGATAACCTGAGTCACACGGAACCAGGCTTCCTATGCCCCTTCTAATGCCAATCCCATGGCACGGGGCTGTGGCAGTGGGCATCTCCTTGTGCTTTGACCAAGCCATCATAGGCAGGGGCAGGAGGGAAGGGACCCAGGTCTGGCCTCAGTGGGTCTGTATCTCTCAGTCTCCCAGCCAGCCCTGGCCCAGCCGGATGCACTGCTGGTCTTCCCAGGCCAAGTGGCTCAACTCTCCTGCACACTCATCCCCCAGCATGCCAGCATTGCAGACTATGGTGTGTCCTGGTACCAGCAGCGGGCAGGTAGTGCCCCCCGATACCTCCTCTACTACCATTCTGAGGAGGACTACCACCGGCCTGATGACATTCCTGACCGATTCTCAGCTGCCAAGGATGTAGCCCACAATGCTTGTATCCTAACCATCAGCCCAGTGCAGCCTGAGGATGATGCAGATTATTACTGCTCTGTTGGCTATAGCTCTGATCCCTAGGGGTGGGGTGTGGGATGCATGTCTCCTGTCTGCCTCTCATTTTTTCCCCTGAACTTGGATACCTCCCCCCGCCCTCTCTCTGATCCTTGCTTTCCTTTCACTGTACAATGGATTAATAAAATTCAATATTATTATGAAGGCCATGAGTTCCTGGTTGAAAAAGTGACTGTAGTTTGTCTGGGAGTGTGTACGGGATCGTTGCTGAAGAGGAAGCACCTGAGACCCTTGGGGAGTGGCCCAGCCTCGCCTTTGGCCCCCAGGGGCTCAGCCTGGTGGCCTGGCCTTCCGGTGCCTGAGGCACTAGAGGGAGAGAAAAAGGAACCAGCTCTATTGTCCTCAGTTCTGCGTGGCTGATTGTGGTCCAATGCTTAGACAATCTGGGGAGGCTGGTCCCCACAAAGCCAAGCCTGTTGCCTTGTGGAAGGGCAGCCCCTAGCTCCCACCTGGAGTCTGCAGAAGGCCCCATGGGTCACTGATGGAGCAGGGAAGCAGATGTGTATAGGTGGTATGGGCATGGAGGGAACTGAGAGGCACCTGAGGGCCAGGGATGAAGGTGACAAAGGCAGGTGGGCAGATGCCTGGATAGCCTCCCTTCCCACCAGGAACAGTGTGTTCTATTGGTCTCCTGTGATTAGATTGCTATCTCTTGGGGGAAGCTTTTCCCACAGGCTGTGTGCCCACACCGGAGCTGCTATGGGCCAAGGGGCAGAGCCATGGATGAAAGGACAAGCCTTGCCAGCAGAAGCAGAGCTGAGTGTTCGGAACTGGGTCATGTGTGTATTCAGGAACATTTCCATGCTGGGCTTGGGGGTAGCCCAGTGGCAGAGCACTGGCCTAGTGGGCAGGGGGTCCTGGAATACACACCCAGCATCACAAAAACAAAACAAGCGCATCTCTTTTCCTTTCTGGTGCCCCCTAAGAGGCGCCTCATGCGTGGAGGTTAATATCCAGACGCACAGAAATCAGAGGCTCCAGGGGCCTGGGACGGTCCTGCCTACACTCCCAGCCACACCTCCCGAATTGTCTCTGTGGGAGTGGATTGGGGAGAAAGGACCAGGGTTACCCTAGGAAGAGGGAGAATACGAACAGGGCCTCTGGGTCGAGAACTATGGGAATCCCTTCCCCTTCTTCTGAAAACCCCAAACTCCCAGGCGGCTGCTGTCTCATACTTAGCCCCCAGGAAGTGGCAGCAGGTGCCTGTGGTCTAGACAGGCCCGTCTTTCCTGGCCTCTGTTTTTCTTTTGCACTCCACTCAATAGCGGCCCAGCTCCTTCCTCAATCCTTTTACAACAGAGACTTTTCTGATCCGGGTCCCTTTGCCCCGAGGATCTGGGAAGATTAGGAGCCCTCCGGCCTGACGCGGTAGGACCACCGAGATCCCGGGACCTCCGCGCGGCCTAGAGCGGTCCCGGAAGTGCCCTCGGGCCGGGGGCGGGACTCCAGGCACGCTGGCGGCAGCGGGCTTCGCGTCAGCTGCAGACGAAGAGCGAGGCCGCGACGGCCGCGGGTTGGAGCGGCTCAGGTGCGGCCCCGCCCCGCCCGCCCGCGGCCCCGCCCCAGCCCAGGTGCACCGCCCCGCCTCGGCTCAGGTGAGTGGCAGCACTTTCGCCAGTGTGACTTGAGGCCGCCTGACCATTTGTCCCTCTGGTAGCCCCTCGTAGGGGTGTTCTCAATCGATGGGAAGCCTGTAGGGGCGTTGCGTCGCCATCTGGGCAACGTGTACGGGTCTGCAGCTACTCGCGCGTTTTCAGCCCGGAGACCCTGACCACACTGAGGGTTTGCCTGGTGCCCGCGCCCTGGTGGCACCCTGGAGGAGGGGTGACGAATGCAAGAAGAGCGGGGGGGGGGGGGGGGGGAATTTAGCTCAGTGGTTCCGCCGCCTGCCTTGCAAGCTCAAGAACCCGAGTTCGATCCCCGGCACCAAAAAGAAAAAAAAAGAAGAGCTGGGGAAGGCTCCGAGAGAGATAGGAAGCATGGGTTTCCAGACCTGTTGATTTTTCATCCAAAAACATTTAACACGTCTTAGGAACAGATTAAATTATTGCCAACTTTTTATCCGTAATGGGGCTTCAGAGTGTAGGGGCTACTACTTATTGGGAATGGAAAATCTGTAAGAGGAGAACGTGGGAAATACCCGGATTTAACAGGTAGGTGAAGGAAGATTTGCAATCCACACATACCAAGGAGTGATCAGAAGGGATGGAGATTGAGAAGAAAACTTTCAGAAACCAAGGGAATAAAGTAGGGGCAGGTGGGGAAGCGGTAGGGGGAATCTCAAAACTTGCAGGCATCCAGGTAGGCAACGTGGATTATTGAAAAAGTTCCAGTTTTTTAAAACAATGCCGGAAACCTACTGAGTTTTGAGTATTGGCACTAAGGAAAAGCCTAATTCTTTGAGAGCCAAATCAAACGTGTCTATGTGGCAGGATCCCCAGCCTGCCAATTTGCAATTTCTGAAAAGCTGCTTTTGGAGAAGGAGCTATTGGTGAGCAGTGTCAGATGGGGTGGGAAGGTGAGGACCAAGAAGATGGGGATTTGGCAATAAGGAGGTCATTGAATGCCAGCACTGCATGCTAAGGTCCTAGCTGAAATTGGAAACTTGAAATATGTCATGATTCTGTGCATAGGTGTACGATTTTGCTGGCCATCATTTAACATCTTAGGAGGAACTGGCAGAGAGGGTTGGGAATCAGCAACAAGTTGCCACAGGACAAGTAGGTGAGCAGCATGATGCTGGTGGGAGAGTTGAAGAGACACCCGTAGTTGGACCTACTAAGGAGAGAGAGAGTGTAAACCAGACAGAGAAGAGGTGGTACTAGAAGAGAACCTGGGTGAAAATGGAAGGTTATTGGACTTGAGGTTGAAAAGCATAGGCTGAGCCGGGCATGGTGGCACACACCTGTAATGCCAGCACTCCGGAGGCTGAGGCAGGAGTATCACCGCAAGTTGAAGGCCAGCCTGGGCTACATAGTGAGTTCAAGGCCAGCCAGAACTAAACAGGAAGACCCTATCCCCACCCCCTAAAATAAATAAATGAGATATGCATATGAAGTTCTAGTGCTCTCTAGCACGTAGTAGGTACTTATAAACAAGAATAGTTGTTATTACTATCACATCGCTTGGGACTTCCCCTTTATCTCTCTAGCACAGAAGTTTCTGAATGGGCTCTGTTGGGCTTCCTCAGTGACCACTATAGTAGAGTGGAGGGCTGAATGGGGTGTTCTAGTATCTTTCCTTGTCCCTGTTAAAACACACCCTTTCCCCTGGAACAGTGCTGCTTCATTTATTTATATCTCCTAAACAATTATTTGATTATTTGACGAGAAAAAAAGTGTGATAGTTGTAGCGCAAAAACAAATGGCTTTTCCTCCCTTTGATCATTTATTCAACAACTGTGTGCACTGAGATTGTGCTGTTGTGCTGGGGACTGGGAATTTCACAGTTGAAGAAGCACAGTACTTGCTCTTAGGGAGCTGGGAAACTAATGTTGGGGACAGTCTTATAAATATGCAGGGTGGTGAGTGCTGTGACAGGGTACACTCAATACCTCAGCTCACCAAGATGGCCAAGAGTCTGAGTGTGTAGGGACTAAGGGACATTTTGACCGAGTGTGGAAAGATGAGCAGATGCAGTCTGAGGGCAGGGGAAGGACCTTTTAGAAGACAGAAGCAGTACAAATGAATTGTTGAGCTAGAAGATTAGTGTGTAGGGGAGAGAGGCAGGAGACAAGGCTGGAGGGGTTGGGTATGAAGGACCATGTGAAGGATTTGAGCGGTTGCAAGAAGGAAAATTATGAGATCAAACTAGCGTTTGGGTATTTGACTTTTGTCTCAGTGTAGAGCATGGACAGGTAGCAGCTGGAGGTAGGTGGCCAGTTAAGAGGTGAGTTTTGAAAAAATCCTGGGGAGTTGCCCTGAGGCCTAAGCTGGACAGTGGCAGTGAGGATAAAGGGTAGAGGTGCCTTGCATGTGGTTTCAGGAAGTGGACAGGACAGGCTGAGTTGGGTAAGGATGAGAGAGTCTAGGCTGACTTCTAGCGTTCTGGCTGGGTTACCTGCTGTTAGTGGTGCTGCTGTACTCTTTGTCTTTTCCCAAAATCCCACCACCAGCATCATCCAGTCACCAGAGGCTTGCCCCCTTTTCCATAATGGCTCCACTTCCTGTTTAGCCCCCTTTGTGAACACTCACACTAAAGTCTAGATACCCTGATGTGGCACCTGATTTTGCTTGTCTATCTGTCTTCCAGTTGTCTCTGGTAAATGAAATTCAACTCTAATTCATTTCGTTTCATCTCAAGGCCAAGACTGTCTTATATTGTACTCTTTTGGCTTGCTTTCTCTCTCTCTCTCTCTCTCTCTCTCTCTCTCTCTCTTTCTTTCTTTCCTTTTGTGCAGTACTGGGAATTAAACCCAGGGGCTTTGCACTAAAAACCCCCAGGTGTTTTTATTTTTTGAGACAGGGTCTTGTTAAATAGCTAAGTTGCCCAGGCTGGGGTTGAACTTGCAGTCCTCCTGCCTCAGCCTCCCACACTGCTGGAGTTGTAGGCATGTGCCACCACACCCAGCTCATTTGTTCTTTTCCGCCATAGATTCTAACATGGGAAGGAGGTATGTATGAGATCCTTGTGTTACTGACTTGACAACATCCCTTATTTTTTCAGATTATGAGAACAGTGAATGCAGCTCAAAGAAGAGTGTTTTTAAAGACATACAGTCATTGGGATTGAGATTCACAATGGAGGTTTCTCCAGCAACAAAGTTTAGAGAGACCTTTGTATTTGAGGACAGGTTAGAGACACGACAAGACCTTTTCCAAGGGGAAGACCTGGGAGATCCTTTTCTTCAGGAAAAAGGTTTGGAACAAATGGCTGTAATTTACAAGGAGATCCCTCTTGGGGAGCAAGACTTGGAATGTGATGATTACGAGGGGAATTTCAGTCTCTGTTCAAGCCCTGTTCACCCTCAGAGTATCCTCCCAGGAGTCAGACCCCAGGATGAAGAGATATTTGGCCAAGCATTTCTCAAGAAACCTGACATCAGTGTGTGTCAGATCATCCATGGTGAAGAGTCCAGTCCACAAGCTCATGAAGAAGTGGCCAGGGGCCACTTGGGACCTAATGCACCTCACAGAACCCCACAGCCAGCCAAGCCCTATGCATGTCGAGAGTGTGGGAAGGCCTTCAGCCAGAGCTCACACCTTCTGCGACACCTGGTCATCCATACTGGGGAGAAGCCCTACGAGTGCTGTGAGTGTGGCAAGGCCTTCAGCCAGAGCTCTCATCTTCTCCGCCACCAGATCATCCACACTGGGGAGAAGCCGTATGAGTGCCGGGAGTGTGGGAAAGCCTTCCGCCAGAGCTCAGCCCTCTCGCAACACCAGAAAATCCACACTGGGAAGAGGCCCTATGAATGCAGGGAATGTGGGAAAGATTTCAGCCGGAGCTCCAGCCTCCGAAAACATGAGCGAATTCACACAGGAGAGAGACCTTATCAGTGTAAGGAATGTGGGAAATCCTTCAACCAGAGTTCAGGCCTGAGCCAGCATCGGAAAATCCACACCCTAAAGAAACCCCACGAATGTGATCTCTGTGGAAAAGCCTTTTGTCATCGGTCCCACCTCATCCGGCACCAGCGAATTCACACAGGGAAGAAACCTTACAAATGTGAAGAATGCGGAAAGGCCTTCAGCCAGAGCTCCAACCTCATTGAACATCGGAAGACTCACACTGGTGAAAAACCCTACAAGTGCCATAAGTGTGGGAAGGCCTTCAGCCAGAGCTCCTCTCTTATTGAGCACCAGCGGATCCACACTGGGGAGAAGCCCTATGAGTGCTGTCAGTGTGGCAAAGCCTTCTGTCACAGCTCTGCGCTGATTCAGCACCAGCGGATCCACACTGGCAAGAAGCCCTATGGCTGCGAGTGTGGCAAGGCTTTCAGGCACAGGTCAGCTCTCATCGAGCATTATAAAACCCACACCAGAGAGAAGCCCTACGTGTGTAATCTGTGTGGCAAGTCCTTCCGAGGGAGCTCACACCTGATCCGGCATCAAAAGATCCATGCTGGGGAGAAGCTCTAGAATGGGAAGCCCCACCACAGCGTGGAAGCCTTTGCCAGATGGAGTCCATATCCGTGTAACTTTGTCTCTAAGACCTCACCTACCTCCCTGATAACTTTGCTGGGTGGACAACCTCCCATAGTGTCCTCCTGAGCATCCTTGCTATCAGGAAGCCCCATGTGGCACCAAGCTCTCAACATGCTCCTGGGTGGAAGGGAAGAGGGCCAAGGGGGTGGCGAGCCCACAAAAAGAGCTGGCTTTCAGCTTTCTTATTCTTACATTTGACTCCTAAGCCTACAGATGAGATTTTATTTTTCCCTGTTCCTGCTTTTCTCAGTGTCTGGAAGAAGAATATGTCAAGGGGCAGAAAGTAGAGAAAAACCAAGGAAATTTAGATATACTCTTTAAGGCAGCAGATTGGCACTTTCAGAAGACAGAAAGCACATCATCTGTAGTACAAGTCAGCTGAAGAAAATGAATTCAAAAGTAGATATGAAAGAAGCAAAATGGAATTCTGTGCCTGGGTTGGGCATTGATGATGATAACCAAAACATATTACCAGGGCAGAGGAGGGTCTCAAAGGATTGATTTGGGGGTTGGTGAGGGTGGTGACCCCCTTGGGCATGGTCTCATAGCCCTCTGGTTAGCATGAGAGTGGATTCTGTGAGTGGCTTGATCACAAGAGGACAGGTTTGGCCCTATTGTGGCCACAGGATATTTGACACCTGTGACTCAGCAGAGTGCTGGTACTGATGCCCTCCAGGAACAACCCCTCCCTGAGACCTGGTGCTCCAAGAGCACAGTGTGCCTTGGATGCCATCAGGGCCCACTTCTGGTCTGGCAGTTACACAGATTCCTCTCTTTACTCCCTGGTGTTGGGACGTGGGAAGCAGGTGATTTGGAAGAGGAGGAGGCCATGGTTCCTTCAGAAGAGTGTGGGAATGTCTGGATTCAATTCCTATTCTGCAAATAGCGTGTTTCCTGGATTACACATGGAATGGTTTCATGAGCTGTTTTGACAAATGTAGTTTTTAAAACTTCAGTGTGTTTTTTAGAGAAATTACATCTGGTTATCCATAAAGCAGAGCTAAAACTAAGTTTCTTTCATGGTCTCCCTACTTCATCCATGTCAGTCAGATTAAAGTGTGTAATCCTAAAGGGGGGGGCTAGGTTCAAAGTCCAGTACCGCCCCCGCCTACTTCTGTGACCTGAGCCCCACAACTTCCCAAGGTTGTTTCCCTGTATGAATGACCTGGCCATGTACTTCTAAGGGTTGGTTTTAGGATTCTGTTCAGAATGGGGCCACACTTGAAAGTGCCTTGACAGCCCAGCAGTCATGGGTGGCGGTTAAGGATGGAGACCCTGAGTGACCCCCTACCCTGAAGCATGTTACCTGCAGACCAGAGAAGTGTCCAATACATTGACATGTCCTCGTAGACACTCCCAAACCTGCTGCAGTGGTGTCATGCTTGCTCTGGTGATCTTTCTACCTTCCTAACTGTAGTTCACCTGGGGGTTAAGAAGTGCCACTGACCATGTCCCACCTGGACTCATTCAATCAGCATCACTAGTGTTGGATCCCTGACATGTTTCTGAAGCTCCCTAGGTGGTTATAAGTTACAGCATGTGACTGGGCAGTGAGCCCTGAGCTGGGCTTTCGTGCGGCCCCAATGGCTTCCCTGTCACCCTGTTCACTTTGACAGAGCAGAGCTTGAAGGCCATTCTGTCTCGGCCCTGCCCCCACCCCAACCCTGGGAATGGGCTCAAGCAGTGACAATTGTCTTGCCAGTTGATAAGCGCTTGTCCCAGGCCAGGGAATCTCGTTTTGCAGTGCTGGAAATTGAACCCAGGCCCTTGCACATGCTAGGCAAGTGCTCTACCACAGAGCTACATCCCCAGCTCTGTGGTGCTGACCAAACTCCTCAGAGCTAGTGGAGAAAAAGGCAATCATGGCTCTTTTGAAGTTTTCCGAGAGTTTATGTCTGGAATAACATGACTATATCGTGGTGATATGGCTATTTCAGCTGGCCAGAAGCATGGTGTGGTATATAGTTTTGACAAATAAACATGAGAAAGCCATATTTGTTCCTTACTAAGTGAGGCCTGGTAGGTCAGAGATTTTGTTTCTCTGTTTCTGTTTTGTTTTTGAGACAAGGTCTTGTTGTGTAGTTCAGGCTGGCCTTGAATTTGTGGCAATCTTGAGTGCTGGGATTACAGGTGCATGCCACCGCACCCGGCTTAGGCTAGAGATTTCGAATCATGGGTATAATGAGCTGGAGAGATCCCAGTGAAAGTCCTGGCCACTTCCAGAAGCCTATTGTCCCCCAGAACCCACTGTGTGACCAGCTGGACTATGCAATCCCAGGACCTGATGGGTGTCCCTGGGCACCATTCCAGGCAGTTAATACCTAGTATCTTCAGTCATTTATCAGGAGTGAAGAGAGAATACCAAGACTCAATTGGGATAGCAGGTATCATTAGGTAGGGCCCCTGAAAGATCTGCCTTTTCACCCCCTCTGCTCCCATTCTGTCCCAGTCTTGGCTAGGCCTCTCCTTACCCAGAAAGCATCTGTCACTTACACTGAGTCTTTCCATTTTTGCCCTTTCTGCACACTCCAGCCAAATCGATATGTTTCTTTTTGTTGTTGTTGTTGTTTTTGGTACTAGGGATCAAACTCGGGACCTTGTGCTTGTGAGGCAGGTGGCAGAACCAGTGAGCTAAATCCCCGGCCCCTGTTTGTTTTTTTTTTATTCTGGGGACAGAACCCAGGGACACTATATCACACTGAGCAACATCCCCAACCCTTTTTATCCCCAACTCACGTACTTTGCCCAGGCTGACTTCAAACTCGTAATTCTCCTGCCTTGGCCTCCTGAGTTGCTGGGATTGCAGGCATGTGCCACTGTACCCAGCTCTAGTTGATTTTTTAATTTTTATTTTTTGGTGGTACTGAAAATTGAAGCCAGGGCCTTCTCACAAGGTATATCCATAGCCCCTTTTTTATTTTTTTATCGAAACAGGGTCTGGCTAAGTCACTAAATTGCCCAGGCTGGGCTTGAACTTGTGATCCTTGACTCAGCTTCCCAATCCCCTGCTGGGATTGCAGTCCTGCACTATCATATCCCGTGTTGATTTTTAAAGCATCATTTTGCACATATTACTACTCCTTAAAGCCAACTTTCAGGAACCTTTCTCCATGTGTGTAGCCTCTTGTTTGAGCCAACCTGCTCCATTTGAAGAAACCGAACATGACAGACATGAACGTGGAGTTCAGAGTGGCCCCTGCTAGATGCCATCTTGTTCATGCCTGGCTTTTTATGACTCACTTGATGCCACTTTCACGTTTTGCAGTGTGCCTTCTCCCTCATCCTCTTCCTTCTCCTCTTCCCTCCCTCCCTTTCTTTTCTTCTTTTTATATAACATGAGGGTAAAGACTATCGCCTCCCCCAAGGGTTAACAGAGTCTTACATAAAAATGATAAGAGCACGTACTTTTTTTAGAAGTATGAGCAGAGCCTAGTTCCTTTTATTCAAATTCTTTCACTCTTACTATGTATTTTTTTAAAGAAATCTCTATTTAGATTCTCAGTGTAAAATTATAAGACGGTCTCTGGTAATTTTTTTTTTTTTTTTTGTACCGGGGATTGAACTCAGGACCTTGCTGTTGGGAGGCAGGCGGTGGAACCACTGAGCTAAATCCTCGGCCCTCTGGTAATATTTTAATTATCATTTTGTTTTGTTAGGGGTGCTGGGATGGAATCCAGACCCTTAAGCATACTAGGCAAGCACTGTATCACTGACCTACACCCTAGCTCTTTATCATCTTTATCATTGAGTTGTTTTTGTTTTTATTGTTTTACATTCTTTTCCTTCATCCAGTAGTGGCTTACTTAGATATTTTTGAGTATTATAAAGCTCCAACTCTTGAGCCAGGGATTTAGCTCAGTGCCACTGTGCCTGCCTTGCAAGTGTGAGGTCCTGAGTTCCATCCCTGGTACCAAAAAAAAAACCCCTCCAACTCTTATTTTGTTTATCAATCTAATTGTTTTGTCAAAATGTTTCTATCCCCTCCCTTTCTTGGCTTAATACTTTTAGATATTATTTCAAAATGGTTAAACATAATTTTTGGGGCTGGGGATTTAGCTCAGTGGTTCCGGTGCCTGCCTTGCAAGCTCAAGGTCCCAAGTTCAATCCCCAGTACCAAAAATATATATATGTATTTTCTTTTTAGTATTGCTAGCTAATGAATGTAGATATTTTTGGTTTATGGTTTTTTTTCTTAGTTACAGCTTTGTCTGATCTTCATAAATTTTGACATGCTTTTGTTCTTTTTTTTTTTTTTCTAGTTCCAGGGATCAAACCCAGCGCTAAATCCCTGACCCTGTTTGTCTTTATAGTACTGAGAATTTCCTTTTGGCCCAAGTGTTACTTTTTAATATTTCTAAGGGATGAATGCTTAGGTCATTGCTGCTTACTTCTTATACTATGGTATCAACATTTTCAAGTACCCACAGAACTTCTGTGGGCCAGGAAACATTATCAACTCTGATAAAACATTTGTGTATTCTTTTAAAAATTTTTATTTCATCAGTTTTATTTGCTAACTCAATTTTAAAAATTATTTTACTTGAACTTCCTTTTATTTCAAAGTTCTTAAACTAGGATCTAAGTACTGCCTTCAACTAAGTATATAGGGGTTTTAGGGCTTGTGGATGTGTGGGTATGGAACAAGATGTGTGGATTTGTGTTTGAATGAATGGGGGGGCTGTAACATTCATATTTTGAAAGGGCTCTGTGATCCCAAAATAGTTAACACTAATTATAGTCTGAGTTTTTATGTTTGTCCTTTTGTTTGTTTGTATTTCACTTTTATATTTTATTTTTATTATTTTATGATCAGAAGGTCTCATTATGTTGCCCAGGTTTCCCTTGAACTCATGGGCTCAAGTGATCCTCCTGCCTCAGCCTCTTGAGTAGCTGGGAGTATAAGCATGGGCCACTAGGCTTGGCTTCTATTTTACTTTTAATTTCTGTTTCTCTTTCATAGATATTTTTGCTGTGTTGGTGTAGTTTTCTCGAATGCTCTTTGAGAAACAGGCAGGGTATAAATAAATATGAAATTGTGGGGCATATATATTAATAATGATATATTGAAAGACTGCCTTTTAGTTCCTTTTGCTTTTTAATGGTTCTAGCTTAAATTTCTCTTTTTCAAATATCATAATGGAAGCGCCTTGCTTTTCTTGAGTTTAGCTGAGCATCTTATTTTTTAAATTGTGTATATATTTTGATATTTATCTGTAACATAAGCAGCAAATTATTGGACTTCATTTTCTGGTTCTTTGTATACATTTTTCTTGTTATATAAAGTTATGTTATTAATGTTATTGTTGAGCCAGGCATTTATTTTAACCTTAACATTTTGTATATATTAACTTATTTAACCCATAAAGG